TGCTGTGGGTGGGGTAGGAGTGCTGTATGTGAGGGGGTAGGGGTGCTGTGTGGGGGGGGTAGGGGTGATGTGTGTGGGGGTAGGAGTGTAGGGAGGGGAGGGATGCTGGGTGTGGGGGAGGGATGCTGGGGGGTGGTCTGGGGAGGGAGGGGTGTGTGGGGGGGTAGGGGTACTGTGTGTGGGGGGTAGGAGTACTGTGTGTGGGCGGGGTAGGGGTGCTGTGGCGGGTAGGGGTGCTGTGTGTGTGTGGGGATGGGGTGTGGGGGGGTAAAGGTGTTTAAAAAAATGAAGAAGGGGGGGACACAGCCATGGTGGTCCAGTGGTGGTAAGTACTGCTTCCGTGTCGGGAGGACAGGGGGAGTGATCTGTGAAGCAGCTCCCCTGTCCTCCCGCGCGATGCTGTGTCGACCATTGTCATGTTAACACGCGGCAACGCTCCACACAGCTTGCTCGTGGGAGGACAGCGGAGCTGCTTCACAGATCACTCCCGCTGTCCTCCCGACATGGAAGTAGAGTAGGCGCCTGCCGTTTTAGGCAGGCAGGTGCCTACTCTGCATTGATGGCGAACCTATGGCCGCATGCCCACAGAAAGGGCCCGGCATGCCACCTGTGGAATAGATTCGCCATCACTGCGTGACATAGATTCGCCATCACTGCTTTAAGCTGTGTCTTTGGAGGCTCCTGCATGCACAAGAGTACAGCACTGAGGTAGCTTCTGGTAGCTGAAGCGCCAGGAGGTGAAAAGACATGCATTGTGAAGATGGTGACGACCACATGGGACAGAATGAGGTAAGTAAAACTTACCTCCCCTGCACCACATGGCCACCGGATCCACACTGGATCTACCATTTCGGGGATTTGCTAAATATGCAAAGAACCCTGAAATTGACAGATCTTCTTTAAAGGGTTAAAAGTAGGCCATTACACCCAGACCACTCCATTGAGATGAAGTGGCCTGGATGACTGTAGTGGTCCTTTAGTTTGTCATAGGAGAATGAGCTTTCCGTTAAGAAAATAAATTTAATCTATACATAATCCGTCTACTACCGTGTATAGTTGAAATATACTCTTTATTTTATTTAGTTTGACCTTGCTTGTTTTTATTGCACTGGCGTAAGCATAGCAGTAACTACTGTATCCAAGAGTACTACTACCAACTGTGTGGGCAGCCACCACAACCTCAAATTATGTATTTGCATCTTACATAGAGTGAGCATCTGCAAGATAAGAAATCTAGAATATGTTTTGCATCATTTGGGGTAGGGAAACTGTGCACAGTTGCTCCATTCAGTCCCATGGTGCTAGGATGTGCATGTTGGAGGTCTGCAGGGAGCAATATTCAATAAAAGTTGCTCTGTCACCGTCTGGGGTCTTTGCATAATTTACAAAGTCCACCAACGGTGACTGTTCCACTGGTAGTGCAGATGCAGAGGAGTGCAGGGAAATGTGATTTATACTTACCTGAACCTGTCTTTCATGGCCTTCTACATCGTCTTGCTGCCAGTTCTCTACAGCTCCTGGTGCTTTACCCGCCAGGAGCTGACGTGTGTCGGAGTACAACGCTGACGTCTACAGAGTCATGATGAATTGACAAGGTTTGACATACTTTTGTCAAGCTTTATTTAGTGTAGGAAAAATACTAAGACAAAGTACTCCCTACTTCTTCTTAGTACATCTTCTGACTGGGTTGGATGGATTACATCTTGAAATACTCTTTTTGGATGGTAGGGGGTCACAGAGCCCCTTTAAATATCCGATTAGTTATATTCTTGCTAGAAATTTTAACAGCACAATGTATAGATTATATCTTTACATACCTGAATGTGAACTTAAAGATAAGTTCTACACCTTCCCCATTAGTAAACGTTTCTTCTGAATCACTTTGATAATCTAGTATGCAATAAGCAATACGTTTGAGGCTTTTAAGCTCCATTTTTCTATTGATCTATAGGTATTAAGATGAAGGCCAATGCAGTATGTAAGAGATATCATCAGGTTACAAAGGCTTTTGCCAAGGAAACAGTATATTTATAGATACATATAGGTCTACATGATATGGGATTCTGCAAGAGCAAAACATTTTAAAGCATAAACCTGTCAGCTAAATTTTTGTAACGCTTGATTGCAAGATATTTGCGTATGTTTCATTTCTCTTCAAATACTCTTCAAAGCAATACCTGATTTGAGATGGTTTGAGAGATAGTTTTCTAAACACTTTATATCACAGTACTTGTTTCTGGTTTCCTTTACAATATGTATGGTGCCTGGAGTGCCCTAGTGCTGACCCAATGTAAGTAGGCAAACAAATTGCTAATGGTTTAACTTCTTGGCTGGGGGTTCTTCAGGCATCAGTCCCAGGTTCCTGTCTTCCAGTATGAAGAGTGGGAAGCTCCTGCTTGGAACTTTGATATCTCTCTTGAGTTAAACCAAGAGAGTGTCAGCTGACTGCTATTAGCAGTCCATCACAGCATCCATTGCCGGTATGAATTGCTATGACTTGAAGGAAATATGTAATCTCTGGGTTTAGCAGTAAACTGCATGAAAATCAGTTAACACTGAATGGAGGAAAAGGTCTAGAGCAGTGTTCCCCAACCCAGTCCTCAGTGACATCCAACAGTCCAGGTTTTGTCAGTATGGAATAAAACAGGGAAATACATAAATCCTGGACTGTTGGTCGTCCCTGAGGACTGGGTTGGTGAACATTGGTCTAGAGGACCCCAAGCACTTTAACCAATAAAATTGTTACAGTGCTTGCAGTGTCCATTTAATTCAGCAGGGCTTAGATATTGCCTTATTATTGTTGTTGATGTACTAATAGTATACAGTCAGGTCCATAAATATTGGGACATCAACACAATTCTAATCTTTTTGGCTCTATCCACCAACACAATGGGTTTGAAATGAAACAAACAAGATTTGCTTTAACTGCAGACTTTCAGCTTTAATTTGAGGGTATTTACATCCAAAGCAGGTGAACAGTATAGGAATTATTACAACAGTTTGTATATGTGCCTCCCACTTTTTAAGGGACCAAAAGTAATGGGACAGATTAACAGTCATAAATCAAACTTTAACTTTTTAATACTTGGTTGCAAATCTTTTGCAGCCAATTACAGCCTGAAGTCTGGAACGCATAGACGCTGGGTTTCATCCCTGGTGATGCTCTGCCAGGCCTCTACTGCAACTGTCTTCAGTTCCTGCTTGTTCTTGGGGCATTTTCCCTTCAGTTTTGTCTTCATCAAGTGAAATGCATGCTTCAGGTCAGGTGATTGACTTGGCCATAACGTTCCACTTCTTTCCCTCAAAAAACTCTTTGGTTGCTTTTGCAGTATGCTTCGGGTCATTGTCCATCTGCACTGTGAAGCGCCGTCCAATGAGTTCTGAAGCATTTGGCTGAGTATAAGCAGATAAAATTGCCCGAAACACTTCAGAATTCATCCTGCTGCTTTTGTCAGCAGTCACATCATCAATAAATACAAGAGAACCAGTTCCATTGGCAGTCATACATGCCCACGTCATGACACTACCACCACCATGCTTCACTGATGAGGTGGTATGCTTTGGATCACGAGCAGTTCCTTTCCTTCTCCATACTCTTCTCTTCCCATCACTCTGGTACAAGTTGATCTTGGTCTCATCTGTCGATATGATGTTGTTCCAGAACTGTGAAGGCTTTTTTAGATGTTGTTTGGCAAACTCTAATCTGGCCTTCCTGTTTTTGAGGCTCACCAATGGTTTACATCTTGTGGTGAACCCTCTGTATTCACTCTGGTGAAGTCTTCTCTTGATTGTTGACTTTGACACACATACCCCTACCTCCAGGAGAGTGTTCTTGATCGGGCCAACTGTTGTGAAGGGTGTTTTCGGTCGGGAAAGAATTCTTCGGTCATCCACCACAGTTGTTTTCCGTGGTCTTCCGGGTCTTTTGGTGTTGCTGAGCTCGCCAGTGCGTTCTTTCTTTTTAAGGATGTTCCAAACAGTTGATTTGGCCACACCTAATGTTTTTGCTATCTCTCTGATGGGTTTGTTTTGTTTTTTCAGCCTAATGATGGCTTGCGTCACTGATAGTGACAGCTCATTGGATCTCATATTGATAGTTGACAGCAACAGATTCCAAATGCAAATAGCACACTTGAAATTAACTCTGGACCTTTTATCTGCTCCTTGTAAATGGGATAATGAGGGAATAACACACACCTGGCCATGGAACAGCTGAGCAGCCAATTGTCCCATTACTTTTGGTCCCTTGAAAAGTGGGAGACACATATATAAACTGTTGTAATTCCTACACCATTCACCCGATTTGGATGTAAATACCCTCAAAAAGTCTGCAGTTAAAGCACATCTTGTTGATTTCATTTCAAATCCATCGTGGTGGTGTATAGAGCCAAAAAGATTAGAATTGTGTCGATGTCCCAATATTTATGGACCTGACTGTATGTAGTAATATATATTAGGGATCGACCGATATTGATTTTTTTAGAGCCAATACCGATACCGATATTCTGTGAACTTTCAGGCCGATAGCTGATATAATTTGCCGATATTCTGTACATTTACCATTTTGGAAAATAAAAACAATTTCTAAAGGTAAATGCACAAAATATACATGCCACGTGTAGTGGATGCAGTGTGTTTAGGCAGGGGAGCTGTGTGTGTTTGTGTAGTGTGTGTAGTGGATGCAGTGTGTGTTTGTGTGTGTGTTGTGGATGCAGTGTGTGTTTGTGTAGTGGATGCAGTGTGTATTTGTCTAGTGTGTAGTGAATGCAGTGTGTATTAGTGTAGTGTGTATATAATGAAAGCAGAGTGTTTGTGTAGTGTGTGGGTCGTGTGTGTAAAGTGAATGCAGTGTGTGTGTAAAGTGAATGCTGTATATACTAAATGCAAAGTGTGTGTGTTTGTGTGTGTATATAATGAATGCAGAGTGTGTGTGTATTTGTGTAGTGTTTGTATAGTGAATGTAGTGTGTTTATATAATGCAGAGTGTGTGTGTTTGTATAGTGTGTGTATATAATGCAGTGTGTTTGTGTAGTGTGCATTATATAAACACACTACAAACAAACACACTGCATTATATAAACACAGTACACACACACACTGCATTATATACACACACTACACACACACACTGCATTATATAAACACACTACACAAACACACTGCATTATATAGAAACATAGAATGTGACGGCAGATAAGAACCATTCGGCCCATCTAGTCTGCCCAATTTTCTAAATACTTTCATTAGTCCCTAGCCTTATCTTATAGTTAGGATAGCCTTATGCCTATCCCACGCATGCTTAAACTCCTTTACTGTGTTAACCTCTACCACTTCAGCTGGAAGGCTATTCCATGCATCCACTACCCTCTCAGTAAAGTAATACTTCCTGATATTATTTTTAAACCTTTGTCCCTCTAATTTAAGACTATGTCCTCTTGTTGTGGTAGTTTTTCTTCTTTTAAATATAGTCTCCTCCTTTACTGTGTTGATTCCCTTTATATATTTAAATGTTTCTATCATATCCCCCCTGTCTCGTCTTTCCTCCAAGCTATACATGTTAAGATCCTTTAACCTTTCCTGGTAAGTTTTATCCCGCAATCCATGAACCAGTTTAGTAGCCCTTCTCTGAACCCTCTCTAAGGTATCAATATCCTTCTGAAGATACGGTCTCCAGTACTGGGTACAATACTCCAAGTGAGGTCTCACCAGTGTTCTGTACAATGGCACTTCCCTCTTTCACACACTATACAAATACACACACTCTGCATTACATACACAGTGTGTTTGTGTAGTGTATGTGTATATAATGGAATGTGTGTGTGAGGGGGCATTTTTTATTTAATTATTATTTATTTTTTATATTTTATTATTATTTATTTTTGTTTCCCCCCCTCCCTGCTTGTTACCTGGCCAGGGAGGGGGGATATAGCAGTCCCTGGTGGTCCAGTGGCATTGGCTGAGCTGTGGGGGGGGGGCGGCGGGCAGCAAGAGTTTACTCACCTCCCAGCAGCTCCTCCAGCTCCCTAGTGTAAGTCTTGCGTCCAGCGTGACGCACGGAGCGTTGCCATGGTAACCCATGGCAACACTCTGACGGCCGCGGGTCTCGCAAGATTTACACTGGGGAGCTGGAGGAGCTCCTGGGAGGTGAGTAAACGCTTGCTCTCTCAGTCAGTGTGTGTGTGTTTAGGTCCCTGCACCCCTACAATCACGAGAGAGGTGTTTACTCACCTTCTTTCCCACGCCGTGCCAATTTTTGGTGGCTTGTCCTGCCTTCATGGCTGATATAATCAATATTTAAGATCTCAGCTAAATCAATGCTTTCCTACAGGATAGCATTGGGAAGATATTGCGCATGTTCTCTATGGGTAACAGCACCTCCATGCAGAGTGTGGAGACGCTGAACAAAGGTGCTGCGCACTGTGCATTCTGCAGCACTGACGCAGGACTCTCTAGTGGCCGTCTGAGTGACTGTCACTAGAGGAGCTACTAGGCAGCAATGTAAACACTGCCTTTTCTCTAAAAAAGGCAGCATTTACATTGAAAAGGCTACAGAGACAGGCTTTAGGCACCAGAACAACTACATAAAGCTGTTGTGGTTCTGGTGACTATAGTGTCCCTTTAAGAATTGTATATTTCTCGTAAACTAAACTTTGCTAGTTTAAAAAAAACTGGCTCCTAACTTTTTTAGCTGGCTCCTAGATTCCAAACAAATTTGTCAAGCCCTGGTCTAATGCAAAGGAAAGTTGTTGTTTTTTACCGTAAGAACAATATGGATGTGGAATTCTCTGCCTGAAGAAGTGGTTTTATCAGAGTCTGTACAGATGTTTAAACAGCAACTAGCCAGATGCATACTTGCAAAAACATAACAATCAATTACATAATTTTTCAATTGTAGGGTAATAGCTTCTTGATCAAAGGATAAATCTGACTGACATTCTGGGGTTAAGAAGGAAATTTTTCCTAATTTGTTGCAAAATTGGAAGTTTTTCAAACTGGTTTTTTTTTTTGTTTTTTTTGCCTTCTTTTGGATGAACAGCTAAAAGACAGATGTGAGGAAAGCTGAATTTAATGGACACGTCTTTTTTGGCCTATGTAACTAGGTAACTATGTAAGAGATGAAGAATCTCCTGGTTTGAAGCAGGAAACTCTATAACAGTAAAAAAAGTGAAAATGGGAGATGCATGTTTTAACAAACTGATGCAAAATATGGAGAAGTTGTCTAAAAACAATGTAATCCTTCAGACATTTGCTACCATCACATTCACATAATTGAGTAAAATATTTGAACCAAATGATCAAACCTTGAGTGTTGCATAGTTCAACAGCAATATTTTATGATAAAAAGAGCTGTAAAGAATAGTTTTATCTGATCACAGCCCTCCGTTTCCAGTATGAATGGAATAACACAAGTAAGTGAACAGAATTTTAAATCTAAATACTACAGAATTATATGAAATACAAATCTTTCTCTGTTTCCTTAAATAAAAATTAAAAAGATGACTTTATTTTGGGGTTTTTGCATAATGTTAAACTCCTTTTACCACAGCAGAATTAGCTCAGGCTGTTTAACAATGAGACACAAGCTGGCAGCTGAACAAAGCAACCTGCCTCTCCTGAGCATTAATGTAATTTAGTGCCCAAAAAGGAAATTTGCCACAGTTCGTTAAGATTGTAAGCCTGAAATAAATGCCAAGGGTGGATTAAGGCTCAGATAGGTTGGTTTTGCTGATCAGTAATAAAAGCAAGTGCTAATATAGCTCCAGACCGACAACGACCACAAGTTTATGTTAAAGGATTCGTATTTTATTTTTTATGTTTTTATATTTTTTATGTTTTTAGAATCTGCATGTACAGATATCATTTCCTTCCTAGTGTTCACTGATGATCATGCGTTAGTATCCAAAACATGTAATGGAAGTACTGTAAAAATACAGAATTTTGGGGGCGGGGCTGGGCGGCCATGCCAGCAGGCTGCAAGTCACTATCACTCCTGAGGAAAATGGTTATTTCTGGTTACATTCCGGCCAAAGCTGGTAACACGCTGGAAGCCCATGGAACAAGACCCTGAAGTGTCCCAGTGCAGCTGGAGCACCTGAAACCGGGTGATTCTGGGTCCTGGTGAGAGACTCTGGGACTTGAGGACTGAGGCCTACCCGGGATGGGAGTGGGGCGGACGGCCGCTGCCTCGCTCTCTGCCCTGGCCACTGTTGCCCTACAACTTACTTGATGCCTCCTCAGCCCCATTCACCCCCCCCCCTTTGGACCGGTGGGGGTTATCCCGGTCCCCACAGGGGAGGCAGCTGTGTGGTTGACCCGAAGCTGCAACTCCAGGGCAAGCTGGCTCACCCCTTAAGATGGCCGCTAGACCGCATGGCGCAGACACAGGGGAAGGGGAAACTAAGTCACCAAGAACGAGTGGCTGCTCGCAAGCACCTGATCGCGGGGGACCTAACGACCGCAGATACAACTGCCCCAACACCTATTACCAAATCGATTCTGCACCTCACTGCCAACACAGCGCCTTCATGGTTCACATGGTCTTATCCGCTGACGGCACAAACAACAACTATTTATGCTGACTAAGGCTCCCAGACATGGAGCGGAGCCCCCATTACGACACCAAAGACCAGCTGGAATGCTTCGGATGACCCAACTTCCGTGCTCGGCACACAACGCGGGTACCCACTGCTGCCTTCCTAGGCCGTGGACCACCAGAGGACACCCCTTACATCACAACCTCACTCCTAGGCTGAACACCCAAGCCGGGATTACTGTTGCTGGCCACATTACAAGCCAGAGGGCACATGTGGAAGGCTCAGACAGGGCCTCGGGCCGGCGGAGTTGCATTTACCAGACCTGCCTGTGTGCCGTGATTTGCCCATACCAGCGGTCCCGAAGAGCAGAATCCAGGGAGCGGCGGGTCCCTTCCTAATGGACCTCTGTGGTTTTACTCGCAATACCGCTTAAGCTTCTTGTGTTAACCACGTTAAATACATCTCAGTTATATGCTAGCTCACTCTATAACAGACATCATTTACAGTCTTTACGATAGACTAATGGTGAACCAGCTTAATCTTATGCTTAGACATGCCTGTTTTACCTGTGGGGGTGATATAGCAGAACTTACCTTGAAACATAGACATGTATACTATATCCCTTTCACACATAAGGGTATTCCACACAATGTCAGGATACACACACTGTGCAAGCTCCTGATATACCACTCATCCTGCATCTCACAGCATAGCTACACAAATACCTAACAAGCGATATCCATGTTTTCTCTGAAGCATGCTTTTGTTTTTCCACATTCTAAGCTATGTTGGGGCTCCCCAAGGGCTAATCCCATGAGTAATTTACACAGACAAAACTCTTGCAGGACACACAACTTCTACATGCACACCACGTTTCAACTCCTACAGAGCATTATAATAAACAGGATTCATACCTTCTTACATAGCGTCTAGTTTATGTCCAAACACCATGTTTAAACCATAGCAAAGCACAGCAAATGGGAGGTTCTATTATTATTATTATTATTATACTATTATTACCTGAGCCTAAATTCCACTCAATATTATTTTATGACCAGCCAGACTTAACTTGCATTACTTTTTTTTGTGTTTCACTCTTAACTTGGTACCACACATTTTTATGAAGACTCATAAGCTATACTACGCTTGTTTATGTATCAAACAAATGTGCATATACTCATGCCACTGTTTACCCTGTATACAACATGTACGCTGTTGTGGCGTTTGCTCTTGCACATATTGTGCATAGTCATATGCAATAATTAAACAAGTCAAAATTAAAAAAAGTGTCAAACAATTCACAGAAAAAAACAAAATCAAAATATACACTAGTCTGTTTACAAGTGTTAATGTCTTATATTTATGACTGGAGGCACCCTGATGTTTTGGTGCACAGTCTGAGTCCCAGTCTGTATGTGCTTTTATGAAAATCACTTTTACACCTTTGTGGTGATATTAGTATAAATTGATGTTTTTAACTAATTAATGTTACCTAGTTCATAATGAGAATATTGTTGTCACGTGTGCACTTTGGAGTTACTTTTTCACAAAGCT